CGCGCTGTCTGACAAACAGTTGTCAGTTCACTGACCTCGTTCAAAAGCCAGAGGTGCGTTGGGTCCGACCAGCATGGCCACTGCACCAGCCCCCCCTGTGGGCCGTGCACTTCCTGTTGCGTAGACAGCGATGTCCCCCGCTACCACCAAAGCATAACGGCCTGCAGGCAGGAGACAGCGATTAAATATATGTACACACAAGTATGAGCATCAACAACATCTTCTGCTTCCAGCCTCATGTGTGAGGATTTAAAGAATGACTTTGTTGTTTGTACAGAAGTTATATCAGAGTGTTGGTAACAGTGGCAGCGCTAATATCTATATTGGCAAAATAACAATAGTATATAATAACATGCAGCTCTGGAAAAGATATGAACACAAACTGCCAGGAGTTCAGTGACTCACCATCCCATGAGCTGGATTCTACCCAGTTGACGGCATTGAAGAGCGCAGCTGTGCCGCCGTAGCAGGCGTTTGTGGTGTCGATGCCCTCCACATCTGTGTTCCCCGAGTCCTCAAACAGCTGCATGATGACCGTCTTGACAGACTTGGACTTGTCGATGATGGTTTCTGTGCCGACCTCCAGTCGACCGACGCTGTCGTAGGACAAGCCGTTCCTCTCCATCAGCCTCTGGACCACAGTCAGACACAGGGAGTTGATATCTTCGCAGTCCGAGCAGAAGCCCATGCGAGCTTGGCCCAGGCCCACGGTGTATTTGCCAGCTGTCACGCCGTCGTGCTGCTCCAGCTCAGTTTGGTCCACGTACTGGGCCGGGAAGTACAGCTCCATGGCGATGATGCCCACGTCTTTGGGCCATGGTCCCATACAACTGATCGGAGCTGATCCAGGCATCTTGAATGAACTGAGGAGGAGAAGAATATTCATCTTTATATCATGTTTGACAGCTGCAGAGTCAGTTAGGAATATGATAATCATGAAATCATTATTAGTCAAGTGACACACACGCACACGCACGCACACACACACACAGCCGGTTTGCTCACTTCTCTAATAACGACGGGAGAGTTAAAGTCTAACGTGATAGCCTCCAGCTAACGTTGTTTAGCTAGCTGGTGTCAGGTTATAGCTAACAGACAAGGTGACTCAGACCGAAGCGTCAGTTGTATGACATTTATTACACGTGTTCACTTTACTGACACATACAAACATCACACGTCATTAGCTAACAACACACACACACGTGTAGATGACAGCACACACGCTATGGTCGTAGCTAACGCTAGCTAGGTGAAAGGTTATTACACGATGCTACATAAACAAACCTGTTAAACACACGGGAGAGAGAAACTGGGTGAAAGGGCACCGGGATTTACCGGAACTGAAGTCAGTAAGGACGGGGAACCGGAATCAGAAGCCCGTTAGACGGTCACACGGAGTGTCCGTTAGCTAAAGACACCGACACGTTTCTATCACGAGCCATGACACAGACATGAACATATTCAAATCATCCCCACAGCGTCTCAGCCACAGTGGGAGACCCGGACCGTCCACGGTGACGGACCAGCTTCCTGTCCGGCCCATTGGCCCTCAGCTCCAGGTTCTAACGTTAGCTCCACCGGGCCAGCAGCTAGCTGTGTTAGCTAACACCTGCCGCAGCGGTCAGAGCAACAACATGGCGTCACGGCGTCCTCACCTGTGTGGAGAGCAGGGCCGCTGACTGACAGGTCTCCTCCGTGGTCGCTCCTCTCTGCACCTCCTCCTGTGTTTATATGACGGAGCCGCTCTCCCTGAACTACAGCACCTGGCCTCCTGACCAATCACAGCTCTCACTGCACATGCGGCGCTACCAAGTCCCGCAGCGCGTCAGCCAATCGCAGCCGAGGACCCGCAACACGCGCCGGAGCCCTGCGGGCGGACCAATGAGGAGACATGTACGATGTCTGGTGAGAGAGCAGGAGCCAATCAGGAGCTGGAATCAGTTCCTGGCGCGGCAGTGGCACTGAGCAGCGTGTCCATGGCAACACGCATCCATTCATAGTCAGGGGCTCAGGTGAACACCACCGAGGAAGAAAAGTTTCACTTCACTAAACAACTTTAAAAACATCCCTTTATATTTCATTCCAAGTATTATCTTAGTGAAGAAGTATAATCATCTTAAAGTACTTGTAAAGTACTTATTAAATTAAATGTCCCAGACTCAGGGATGGATCACTGATGTATA